AATTTACGATGATCTGAGTATTATTTTGCCATCCTTTTGAATTAGCTCAACATCTTGCTCATATAATGTTAATGCGTAAATTGAGTAGGCTATTGCCGTTGTTCCAGATAGCTCATATTTGAATGTCCTTTTTGTAGTGCCATCCTTAATGTCCGTTTTCTGTTTTGTTAGGTCGAAATACAGGAAAGGGAATAGCGTACTAAAATTAGATTTATTGAGTAATGACCCTTCACCATATTCATTATTTTTATGGACATATTTCAGAACATCCCTGAAGACTCTAGTCATATCAGTAGTTGGTGTGTAATTGATTTCGGGGTATTCATTACCATTTCCAACTTCCAGATGACAATTGGATAAGGTTCTTGGGTCAGTTGAGACAGAGAATGTGTTGTACAAGAATGGGTTCTCTGTCTGGGCATCGATATTCGCGTCATTGATTATGAACACAAACACGTGCCTTGGTTTTGAGATACCAGTTGATATTCTGAAATGCCCAGCTCTCTGCCGGCTACTATTTGATCTTTCTATATTCTCTCTCAAGTAAGTCCACTTGTGATTTTTAAGATACTGACTCATATAGGATGATTGGCCTTCACTGTTAAAGGTTATCCGCGGTACATACAACTGCATCCTGGTGATAAGCACCCTGCAATTAGCCCCGGCTTGCCAAAGTAGGTTACCATCTGACTCAATCTCAAAATTCATCTCAACCCTTGTATTGGATAACAGCTCATCCTCTAACATTTCGAAAAACGAGTATCTGTTCAGTGGTATTTCAGTGTTTACTGTGGATGAGGTACCTAAGAGTGCTTTTCGAAGGGCAAAACCTTTATTGTAAGCTACTCTTCTTTTGGCTAATTGATTTGTACCACTAACTTCAAATTCCCGCTCTTCTGCATTTCTGGATGTATCAAGGAAGAAAAACTCATTACATGCTGTTTTTTCAGCGTAAGATGGACTGTAATCGAGTAAGTTTTTAATATTAACCGCCTGATTTGCATCATGACAATCATACACTTTCTTGCCATTTAGCTTAATATCAAAATGTTTCAAGAATGAGTACGACCCGTTTACAATTCTATTATGATCTGCTACTGCAATGTTACCACCATTAGCCAGTAAGACTACTTTTAAATCAAGACTGATTCGAGCATTATACCAGTCAAATGGTGTAACCTCTCCGCTGTTATCAACAACAAACCTATAGCCATCTTCTTCTGATAGGCATTGTTGGCGACAGTTGTATTCAGTGCTGTTTCTAGGTCAAAAATAACATCTTCATATCGTTCAACATATTTTGGATCTCTAAAAGAATTCATTATACTAATAGATTAGATAAATCTTCTCATCCGGCCTCCAGACAATAATTGATTTACCCTCTCATTAATCTCGTAATTGCTTAGCTCTCTTGATTGTGGATTTTCTATTAATGATGTCGCTACTGGTGTTTTTGTCTTTTTATTCTTTTTGCTTAATAACTGAAGAATTTTATCGCCGGCCTTCTCGCCAGCATATTCACCAGTCTTAGTGGCAGCTTTCTGAACGGCATTTTGGGTTGCTGTTTTAGCAGCCTCTTTCATCGTCTTTCCAAATAGCTTTCAACCAATCGTTTTGAAAATATCGGTAACAACACCTTTTCCATAAATATGACTCTTAACATATCTACCCATTTTGGCATCATAACGTTTCTTAAATTCTGATTGTCTTATTGTATATTATTAGGTTAGATAATATGCTGGTTTGGATCGCAATATCAATGTCATAAACCATTCAATCTTATTTAGTCCAATTGGTCGCCCCAGTGAGTCTGTGATGTAAAACCTCATTTGTGAAATATTAAGCTTCGAAACTTCATTAAACAATAGCCTTCTAGGTTCAAATGTGAATGGAAAGCTTCTCGTCAAATTGTCAGTTGGAATAACAGCTAAAGTATTAGTGTTAACACCATTCAATATGCTGTTCGTAATAGCATCGGTATTGATATAAATCATGTCAATAGAGTTTGTGATATTGGGAAGAATTGTCCCATATTCTGTTTTATTGACAATCTTTTCTGTAAATCCAATCAACTTCCCAAATTTACTGTTTCTCGGATCCAGTTGGTAATTGTTGTCAATCTGAATGAGAATCTTATATGTCGATAATACGAATGTTAGGTTAATGTGGTATTTATCACCAGTTTTATCGTCGATGGTAAGATGACCTGTCTTTTTCATGTACTGATGGAGATAATCATTCAGGTCTAAGTAAGTGTACATTCCATCCACAAATTTGACGGTCTGCTATGAATTTCCGCCATCAGGTGAGTATTTTATTTCATTATTTTGATACTGATCTAAAATATTACGCCAACTATAAGTCATTGTAACCTTATCCAGTGCCATTTCATGTTTCATATCATTTTGGAGTTTTAGAACTAGATCGAATTTGATTATGAAATCCTCTGCTTTATTCCGTCCGATTTTCTCTCTATCAAGAGATGATATATGGATTGCTCTTTCTTGCATTTATATTATTAGATTACATATTCCTTCAACAGACTATAAAGCTGGGTGTTATTTAAAACACCTAATTTGTTTAGTGTGTGAGCAATTTTGGAAAATCCATTTTTCGCGCCATTATTTCCAGCCAATATGGATCCACCTAACAATTCCAGTCTATCCAAAAGGTCAGCTGGATTAATATAATAAACAAAACCTGCACCGATTTTTTTGTATTTATTACTTGTTCGGTGAATTGGAATATCACTTATTCTGTTCAGGTCATCAAATACCATTTTTGATAATGGTGCATACTTCTTTTTACTATTGAACCGCTTTGTGAGCAGATCAAGGGTATCAAAGTCCACTTGCTTATCATATACTTTTTTACCATCCTTGTGAGCAATTAGTTTGAGCTGTCCATAAAGTTTGGGCACGTCAACGGTTACATTTCCATAAACACCAGTATTGGGGTTAATCTTATAGGCATTTCTCTTTTTTTGTGTATAAATACCCTGACCAACTTTCAATGTTTTTGCGCCTTCCTCTAAAATACCAATTCTTTGTCTGTATTTTTTTTATGATGTCAATTCCTTCAGTATATTCGGAAATGTCATCCTTATTTTTCTTTCTATTAGTTTTTGTTGTGCTTAAATTAGCTTTTTTCCGGCCTATTTCCGTATTCATTTCACCGGATTTATCCAGAATTTGTTTCGCATAATTTGGCTGTATTAAGGTTTGCAAAAAGATGTCAGCTGGTAATGGCAATTCCTGGCTTTGTATGAATGCCAACTCTTCTTGAGTGAATCCCTTATTCAAATCAGCTACCATCTTAGGGGCCACCTCACCACTTGGGCCTGGTAATGCTAATCTTTGAACTTGCTCGGCGTATGGGACAACTTGTTTATTAACATCTTCTTTCAATTTACTAATCTCCTCTATCTCCTTATCAAACTTTTCCGTTAGAGGTTTCAGGTCTTCAGACGTCTTTCGTAAACATTCTGCTTATTAGTTCGAACTTCTTTTATAACATCCCTAACAACTTCAGTCATTTTTCCTGCTTCAATTTTAGGGATACTAAGTCTTGAATCTTTCAATATCCATTATACTATTATGTTATATAAAACTTATATCAAGTTATCTGAACTTATTTCAAGTCATCTAACATAATAGTATAATGGAGATTCCAAATTATGATTTCAATGAAGACGAAAATACAAACTTCAAACAGCTGTACAAGTACATGTCCAAATCCAATTTTAGAATGCTAATTTGTGGCAATTCAGGTTCAGGCAAAACAAACCTGCTTTATCACATCCTTATGAAACCATTAGTCTACTACGACCAGATCCATTTATACGGCAAAAATCTTGAACAGGAAAAGTATCGACACATGATTGAAACAATGAATGACATTAGTAGCCAGGTTGGATATTGCATAATGCACTGCAATAATGATGACATTAAACCTGTCAATAGTCTGGAGAGCGATGCCCAGAAAATTGTAATATTCGATGACTTTATTTGTGATAAAAATCAAAAGCCGCTTATCGATTATTTTTTTCAAGGCCGACGCAAGAACTGTAGTGTTATTTACCTGTCACAATCATTTTATAAAACTCCAAAAGATATCAGACTAAACTGGTTGTTTATGATTTCCCTAGCAGTAATGAAAGAAATATGATTTTTAAAGAGCTGAATGTAACAAAGGACCAATACATTAAAGCCACCAAACAACCCTACTCATTCCTGTATGTTGACAAACCAATGAAGACTGTCAAAAGAAACTTTTAAATAATGTATTATCCTTTCTCTGGTAGATAATTATATAACCAATAATATATGAACGCACATTTGAAGTTTAAAAGTCTCCAATATGCTCTGATGGCAACTGAATTGCTATATGATCTCCATCCTATAATATTGAAAGACATACTATATATGAAACGGGCTCTTGGTTCAATTCTTGGACAAATTATCCAACCAAATCAAATAACCTACGAGCAAAGAGAACAAGTTACCAAATTAATATAATCTAATTATATGGAAGTATATCTAGAAATTGAAGATGTCAAATATGGTAGAATGATTGCTGAATTATTTGAAAATCTATCAGAGGGTTGTCTATATAAACTTCTTAATCACAAACATGAATCTTTAGAACAAGCTCGGATTATTGGCAGAGTTATTGGGATGGATGATCTAATTACTAATGAAGAAGCCAAGCTGTTAAAAGCAAATGGATTTCGTGTAAGGGACATAACTGAATAATAAAATAGTAGTGGATGAAAATATCTAATAAACTATTATAAAATGAGAATTTTTAATCAGCAACCTAATTATAATCAATCATACTCAAAAGGAAAACGCGGCGTTACTGGCCCTCAAGGACCTCCTGGCCCGCCTGGTCCCGCTGGTGCTCAGGGTATTCCTGGACCTCGTGGCCCTATTGGCCCCATTGGTCCTACTGGTGTTCATGGTCTTATTGGCCCGATTGGTGTTCGTGGGCCTCAGGGCTTTACTGGCCCTAGTGGTGCAGCTGGTCGTATTGGTCCCACTGGCCCTCGTGGTGCTACTGGTGCATCAGGCACTGGTTTTAATCTCACATCAGATGGGAATTATGATATGGCAAATAAAAAGTTAAGAAATATAGCTGAAGGAACTAGTTTTGTTGACGCTGTAAGAAAAAGTCAACTTGATACTAAACTATCACTTTCTGGTGGATTAATGACCGGCAATTTGGATATGAATAGCAAAAGGATATACAATGTAGCACAACGTTAACCAAATGGTGATAAGCAACCAGCTACATTTTATTTTTAATGATACCGCGCCTACCGAGATAAAAATTCCTTATCTACACAAGGAACTTCAGAACTGTAAGATACGTAGTGAAAAACGTCTGAAGCCTACTTCTTTACCTAATCAAAAACGCCCGCCCTTCTCATGAAATAAGGTAATTGTCGATATTATTATAATTAGTTTAATAGTAATTACTTATCAGTTAATTAATTAGGTAATTATTAGTATTATTATTTTCTTTTTTATGCAGCAATCGAAACATCTCTTTTGTCTTGGCAGTAGTTAAGCCAAGGGTATGATCAGCATTCTCCTCATCGAAAAAAGAGAAACAACACATACATTTACTATATATAATCATTGCATGTTTAATTTCCAGAATCACCTAATGAATAAATATTTCAGCTTATTGGAAAGGGATGGTTTATTTACCAAATAGAAGATCGGATTTGATCCTAGTCCTCGGCGCATGACCTAAAACGTCTTTTAGTTGAGCTTTTCCACTTTTGTATTCTAGTTCTTTATGGAGACCTGATACCATCGTCGTTTTTAAATTAAATAAACCCCCCTCTCAAATAAGCTCCCCCCCCCTCAAATGGGCTTGAAATAAATAAGCCCCCTGGAGGGCTTAATAGCAACAACAACAACAAGTTTATTCAGTATTACCATTTTGTACAGGTGTTACCGATTAAAATAACAATAAACAGCTAAATTTAAGGAAATGAAGATATAATGGAATGGTAGAATTAACTACGTTTCTTTCGTTTCTCAAATGCTTGAAAGATGAAATTAGCAGCTAGCCTGCTGATATGTGAATCAGTATTGTTAAAAAGAAAACAGACTTTATCATGGATATTGTAATTTGTAATAGAGGATTTACGGTACCTTCTTTCTCCAGACACTGTGATACGGCATGCAACTGGACACGGCGTTGGTCCGAGGTCAAATTTCCCTCCACCGAGGGTGGCTCAGTCAACAAAGAAAACCTGCAACAAACGTTTTCTGTTGTTGTTGTAGTTTGGATATCAATAACAGTTTTACCCGTTGAAATTGTAGACCTAAAGAATGATCATTCTCGCGTCAAAACGAACTAAAAGCTTCAAATTAAATTTTCGTTAATTTGACTGAGCCACCCTCGGTCGAGGGAAATTTGACCTCGGACCAACGCCGTGTCTAGTTGCCGTATCACAGTGTCCGGAGACAGAAGGTATTTTGGACATGGCTCAACGAAATGTTCCAGCGACATGCGTCGCTTTTAAACGTTTGCTGCGGTGTAGTGATGATAGACGTTTGCCTCTGGTCGAAAAAATCTGTGATTCGATGGGTTTTCGGGCTGCACCCGCCTTTGAATAGAAAAGGTCCGGACCGCCGGCTCTTTTTCTGTGCTGCCTTTTCTTCGTATTATGAAGAGAGTGACAGGGGTCAAACAATAACAGCCAAAAAAACGACCAAATCGCTGATTTTAAACCAAAAAACACAGGAATACATCAAAAGTAAGTGTCCTTTATTTATTTTATAGAAAAATAAGTAAGAATAATGATATTTAGCGTTCGGAGATCTCAGTACTGTATTTCTCATTCAAAGTCTCAACGGTTGTTTGTAACGCGAAACCGACTCTCTTGTGAGAAAGTTAATTCACATAACAAAACTCGTAACGTGAGCTTGGGACACCTGTGATTTCACAAGTTACAGTACTCGTTTCGTTTCGTTTCGTTTCGTCGAATACTAATTGTTTCGTTTCGTTTCGTTTCGTCGAATACCATAAGCCTAATTTGTCTAAACTAATAATATAATGAGTCAAAAGGAAAATATATTCCACTTTAATCATATTGACAAAAGTAAAACAAAAGAAGAGATACAGGAAATTAAAGAACTGTATAAATATTACCATTAAATATTGGATTTACCAAAAAGCCTATAAATACTTCAAAAAACTAAATCTCCTATTAAATATGTCCTCAACTGGCCTGATAATAATCGGGACAGTTGCTGGTGGTTTGACAGCCAACCCAGCCATTATAGGAAGCATAACAGGTGCTGGTTTAGCTCTAAAAACATTCTCTGAGACAAAAGACTACAAAAAAAATAGAGATGACCCGGTTTTCTTACACTACTTACGACAAAGTGTTAGTCGGGATGAGAACTTCGCTGCGAGGTGGTGCCTTTAAAAAAGATAGTTTCCTGAAGGAAATGACAGTCCTCGATGAAACAATTGTAGATTTTGCTCCATTTTGACAAGATTTGAAAAGCAGTACGGTAAAAAGTTCCTCTCCTGTCCAATAGATGCTTCTATCGGGTTCCAACGAGTGAAACAAAATGGCGGACGCCTTAGTCTGGATAGTACTCCATATAAGTTAACCCGAGGTACAACCTCTTCCCCAGGGTCTCTCGATCAATGAGCAATGGGGGCTTTCCCTACTTCCGGTCCAAATTCTGAGAAACCAGACAGCTAATATCGGCCTTAATCAAGGAATAAACTCTCTCCCACCAATTTTCATAATATCGTAGTGTATTTTTTGACTGAGTAAGAGAAATAATCTTGTATTCTACTCCTAAAATGTCAAATAGTTGTTTTATTATAAAATTTACACTAATGAGCCGTTTTCGGCGAAAATTATTGACTTGCGGTGTAACTTGGTCAATCAACCGAAATATTCTCAGAATCTTCTCTCTATTATAATAACCAACTTGTATATTATTCTTTTGTGCAATATCATTGATGACATTCAAAATATGATATTTTCTGTGGTATACAGACTTTCTTTTCATTTTGTGTCTATTTTCATAAAAATCCACATACTCGTCTGCTGTTAAATAATCATGTACTTGGCCACAATTTCTACACACGATAAAACCATCCTTAATCAGTCTCATAGAATCGCAACAAAAATATCGTCTGGGCTTACCGGGGTCCTGAATCTGTTTCAAAAGATACAATTAACCTGACCCTCTTGGATCAATAACTCATGAATTTCTTTTTTACACATTACTATACACTATATATAGATTTTTATTTTTATATGATATTTGCCCCCACTGAGACTGCGCAGAATAAGGAGACACAAAACATATCCCACATTGAAGAGAATAATGAATTGGACTCATATATAAGACTCATTTGAAGAAGTAATAAAATGTAACTGTGAGAGCGCCACAACACCTGATGACGTCACGACACAGCTGTTCCGCTTTGTACCCCCAGCAGCGTTGTACTTGGCCTATCTAATAAGACCTATATAAGATAAAAAACGGAACAGCTCTTCCGCTTTGTACCCCCAGCAGCGTTGTTGACCGATGGAACTGAACGCTGACAAATGCAAGGAGATGCGCATTGACTTTAAAAGGAACACTCACAATTTTCCACCAATTGTGATAAATGGCAAGGAACTATCAGTATCAAACAGTGTAAAAATCCTAGGAGTCACTATTAGCTCAGATTTAAAATGGAACGAACACATCTCAGAGTGCATTAAGAAAGCGAACAAGCGCCTTTATTTTATTGTTCTTCTAAAGCGCGCCAACGTTCCACTGAGCGACATTGTAAATTTTTACTGCACCGTGATAAGACCTGTTTTAGAGTACTGTGCGCCAGTTTTCCATCATGCGCTTCCACAGTATCTTAGTGACGACATCGAACGAGTGCAAAAGAGAGCGCTGTCCATCATTTGTCCTTATGCGTCGTATTCAGAATGTTTGGTCAGGTTCGATTTAGTAACCTTGCACGCTAGACGCGTGGCCCTTTGTAGCAAGCTTTTCGAGTCTATCACGTCATGCCCTGATCACAAACTTGTGCCTGTCTTACCTCCTAAGAGAGAACACAGACATAATCTAAGACAGTCCAGGGCTTATGCCATGCCCCGCACACATACAAATCGTTTTAAGAACACTTTTATTCCAAGTATGTGTACAAAATTTTTTGGACCAGTTTGTACCTAGTTATATATAGAGAGTCTTTCGCATTTTTATAGAAATGTTGTTTGCTGTAATTTCAATTAGTATTTATATTTTTGGAATTTATTTAATCTTATTTTTAAGTAATTGTAACGCAATTCAGTCTACGGACTGCCATGTTCGATATTTTAATAAACTATCTATCTAATCTATCATTTTCTGACACCCTTAGCTGTCTTTTCATTTTTACCATTATCTTTCACATAAGAATACATCTTACTCCTGAGACCAATAAATTCCACAACAGGCATGCCAGCTGCTTCATCTTTAAATTTGCCGATAACTTTTTTGGTTGTTGAATCAAAAAATTTACTGTTTTTTGGATAATCACTGTTGTCAAACAAATTTCTATCCTACCATAACTCCTCATAAATATCCTGTGTTTCTATTTCATAACAAAGGCTGTCTGTATCTGTAAATAATAATTTAGCCTTGTTATTGTATCTCTTTTTAATGTAATTATAATGAAAATCATACATGAGTGTCTTTGAAAGATCTAAAATGCACATTCCAACATAAGCTGGTCTATTGAGTTTTAGTGTTTCTTTGATTTTATGAACCGCAACAAGGTCCTCAGTGAATATTTTACTGTTAACATATGTTGGCTTGCTTGCAAGTTTGGATAACTTACTTTTATCAGTCACCAATCTTACATCAACACGCTTTCTTAAATTTTCACAAGTTTTGCGATATACTGAATTATTCATAAGCTTGAAAAAATCCTTTTCAAATGCATTTTTTGCACCCGCACGCTTCTGTGTATTAAAATCAATATATTGTCTCAACCATGAGCTCTGATCAAATTCTAATACTCTATGGACTTTTTTCAGTTTCAGACCTAGTGATAGATAAAGTTGTAAATTCCTATAGTGCAATACATAATTCTTCTTTTCTGTTAATGTTGGGGTTAATTTAGCTACCTGCCCTATTGTTACTCCAAACTTCTCCTGAATAGTTTTACAGAATGGTGAAAGCAAATCTTTTGTTACCTTCATTTTTTTCTGCAGCTAAGGGATAATCATTATGCAGCTCATGTAATTATTCAGGGTATTCCAAATCAACTTCAATTATATATCCTTTTTTATTATCAGATAATATTGTCTTATTCATAATCTTATTAATTTGCTTTTCTGTTAGCCATTTAAATCCACCTGTTGGAATATACTGGCTCATCGCGTAACCATATAAATTATTAGCGTCTAGATACATAATATACTTCCTGGGTTTTTCTTTGTTGTACTTTTTCATGTATTTATTATTTGCTTCCCCAAATCGGTTGGTGATGTATGAAATACCTCCACGTGTACCTTTTTCTTTAAACTGAAACATCTCAATATCAGTCATTAACTCCAATTTTATGTCTGTCATTTTTAACATTGCATCCCAACTCAATCCTGGTGATGTATAATAGTGGCATGGGTCTAATTTATAATACTGCAAACATGTACTTCTAAAATTCTCAAAAACATCTGCCAATAGTAAAATATCAGACATCAGGTATAAATCATGGTAATCACCCATAGTCTGTAAATTAAATGTTCCCCAAACTTTTGTGGTATGACAGTATTGTTCATCTGTTATGGCATCTTGGGTTAGCTGGCTAAAGAAATCATCTTTGCTTGGCAGTTGGGTCTCATTAAATCTCTCAAAAGAATACATATAGTCATATGGATATACACCTTTTTGGGTCATTAATTCTAATTTCTCCTTTTTGAATACTTTACGTGTATACTTGAATTTATCTTTTGGTAAATTGGCTGAAAGACGATCTAGGCTACTGGACATAAATTGAAAACTGTCCAAAAATACTAAATGCTTGCCTAGCATAAAAGCCATATATTTCTCCATATTATTGGCAATACAGTTAATATATAATTCGTACTGTTTTCCAATTGTTCCTATCTCCTGCATTATAAAATGGGAAACATACCCACGAAGATTATGAAAAATAACTGTCAGCTTGAACTTTTCTGAGTTTATTCTTAATTTCAAGTTACATTTTTCATGCGCAGATCCTCTATATTGACCTGTTATATGACAATGATCTCTTACACAGATATCTTCTTTAGTATATTTCTTACCACAAATATGACACTCTTTAGCAGCATTAAAATTTTGTTCATCCTCACTGCTCATTTTTAATGGTTTCTTGAATTTGGTTTTAATCATTTTTTCACAGTATTGTACCTCTTTTAACATTTCTTTCATGAACTTTTTTACTGGTTCTTCTCCTCGATATATTTTTACCGTTTTTGTATATTTATCATAGCAGCAAACTACTTTGTAACCATAACTACAGCTTGTATGTGTTTGATATTTGTTTGTATATGATTTTTTTATTATTTGGCTCACATCCTTGCATCTTCGCTGTAACCGCTTCAAAATCTGCACATATCACAAATGGAGCTGGCATCTGGTTTGGATGATTTTTAAACTGCAATATATTTTCACCTTTTTTTTGGCATCCTTATTGCCTGTTTTCCGTTTACAACCATATAATTGTCCTTGTGTTTCAAAAGAATTTGTTCTGTTGTAAAATTTTGTAAGCAGTACATACAAAAGTGTTTTTTCTCCTTATGTTTTGTCTTATTATACATCATTCTATTAAAATCCTTAATTAACACATAATGTTTATTCTCATCTTCTGTTATTAATAAAAGATTCAATATATCTTCATTTTTCTGTTTGGATACATAAATCGGATAAAACTGTTTATTCTCATATCCAAATACATTTATATTGATATTATTTTAATTTGCTCCTCAATTTTATCATAATCTTTTAAACTTACTTCAGGAATACATCAAAAGTAAGTGTCCTTTATTTATTTTATAGAAAAATAAGTAAGAATAATGATATTTAGCGTTCGGAGATCTCAGTACTGTATTTCTCATTCAAAGTCTCAACGGTTGTTTGTAACGCGAAACCGACTCTCTTGTGAGAAAGTTAATTCACATAACAAACTCGTAACGTGAGCTTGGGACACCTGTGATTTCACAAGTTACAGTACTCGTCTCGTTTCGTTTCGTTTCGTCGAATACTAATTGTTTCGTTTCGTTTCGTTTCGTCGAATACCATAAGCCTAATTTGTCTAAACTAATAATATAATGAGTCAAAAGGAAAATATATTCCACTTTAATCATATTGACAAAAGTAAAACAAAAGAAGAGATACAGGAAATTAAAGAACTGTATAAATATTACCATTATAAATATTGGATTTACCAAAAAGCCTATAAATACTTCAAAAAACTAAATCTCCTATTAAATATGTCCTCAACTGGCCTGATAATAATCGGGACAGTTGCTGGTGGTTTGACAGCCAACCCAGCCATTATAGGAAGCATAACAGGTGCTGGTTTAGCTCTAAAAACATTCTCTGAGACAAAAGACTACAAAAAAAATAGAGATGACCCGGTTTTCTTACACTACTTACGACAAAGTGTTAGTCGGGATGAGAACTTCGCTGCGAGGTGGTGCCTTTAATAAAGATAGTTTCCTGAAGGAAATGACAGTCCTCGATGAAACAATTGTAGATTTTGCTCCATTAGTGACAAGATTTGAAAAGCAGTACGCTAAAAAGTTCCTCTCCCGTCCAATAGAAACTGAATAAGTGCTTCTATCGGGTTCCAACGAGTGAAACAAAATGGCGGACGCCTTAGTCTGGATAGTACTCCATATAAGTTAACCCGAGGTACAACCTCTTCCCCAGGGTCTCTCGATCAATGAGCAATGGGGGCTTTCCCTACTTCCGGTCCAAATTCTGAGAAACCAGACAGCTAATATCGGCCTTAATCAAGGAATAAACTCTCTCCCACCAATTTTCATAATATCGTAGTGTATTTTTTGACCGAGTAAGAGAAATAATCTTGTATTCTACTCCTAAAATGTCAAATAGTTGTTTTATTATAAAATTTACACTAATAAACCGTTTTCGGCGAAAATTATTGACTTGCGGTGTAACTTGGTCAATCAACCGAAATATTCTCAGAATCTTCTCTCTATTATAATAACCAACTTGTATATTATTCTTTTGTGCAATATCATTGATGACATTCAAAATATGATATTTTCTGTGGTATACAGACTTTCTTTTCATTTTGTGTCTATTTTCATAAAAATCCACATACTCGTCTGCTGTTAAATAATCATGTACTTGGCCACAATTTCTACACACGATAAAACCATCCTTAATCAGTCTCATAGAATCGCAACAAAAATATCGTCTGGGCTTACCGGGGTCCTGAATCTGTTTCAAAAGATACAATTAACCTGACCCTCTTGGATCAATAACTCATGAATTTCTTTTTTACACATTACTATACACTATATATAGATTTTTATTTTTATATGATATTTGCCCCCACTGAGACTGCGCAGAATAAGGAGACACAAAACATATCCCACATTGAAGAGAATAATGAATTGGACTCATATATAAGACTCATTTGAAGAAGTAATAAAATGTAACTGTGAGAGCGCCACAACACCTGATGACGTCACGACACAGCTGTTCCGCTTTGTACCCCCAGCAGCGTTGTACTTGGCCTATCTAATAAGACCTATATAAGATAAAAAACGGAACAGCTCTTCCGCTTTGTACCCCCAGCAGCGTTGTGGACCGATGGCTTATTTCCTTTGGAAAGTCCCTATTTGATAGTGGCCATATGCATTACTCGTAATTCCATCCCCAAGTATATATACCGTTTGTCATCAAAGCAGCGATATTTTATTCAATTGGTAGCTGCCAATCTGTTGACACTCACTCCTAATTGTGCGCATGCTGTGTAACATTTGTTTACGATTTAATAAGCAATTTTTATAATTCTCATGAGTTATATTCTTTTTAATAACATATTTTCTGACACCCTTAGCTGTCTTTTCATTTTTACCATTATCTTTCACATAAGAATACATCTTACTCCTGAGACCAATAAATTCCACAACAGGCATGCCAGCTGCTTCATCTTTAAATTTGCCGATAACTTTTTTGGTTGTTGAATCAAAAAATTTACTGTTTTTTGGATAATCACTGTTGTCAAACAAATTTCTACCCTACCATAACTCCTCATAAATATCCTGTGTTTCTATTTCATAACAAAGGCTGTCTGTATCTGTAAATAATAATTTAGCCTTGTTATTGTATCTCTTTTTAATGTAATTATAATGAAAATCATACATGAGTGTCTTTGAAAGATCTAAAATGCACATTCCAACATAAGTTGGTCTATTGAGTTTTAGTGTTTCTTTGATTTTATGAACCGCAACAAGGTCCTCAGAGAATATTTTACTGTTAACATATGTTGGCTTGCTTGCAAGTTTGGATAACTTACTTTTATCAGTCACCAATCTTACATCAACACGCTTTCTTAAATTTTCACAAGTTTTGCCATATACTGAATTATTCATAAGCTTGAAAAAATCCTTTTCAAATGCATTTTTTGCACCCGCACGCTTCTGTGTATTAAAATCAATATATTGTCTCAACCATGGGCTCTGATCAAATTCTAATACTCTATGGACTTTTTTCAGTTTCAGACCTAGTGATAGATAAAGTTGTAAATTCCTATAGTGCAATACATAATTCTTCTTTTCTGTTAATGTTGGGGTTAATTTAGCTACCTGCCCTATTGTTACTCCAAACTTCTCCTGAATAGTTTTACAGAATGGTGAAAGCAAATCTTTTGTTACCTTCATTTTTTTCTGCAGCTAAGGGATAATCATTATGCAGCTCATGTAATTATTCAGGGTATTCCAAATCAACTTCAATTATATATCCTTTTTTATTATCAGATAATATTGTCTTATTCATAATCTTATTAATTTGCTTTTCTGTTAGCCATTTAAATCCACCTGTTGGAATATACTGGCTCATCGCGTAACCATATAAATTATTAGCGTCTAGATACATAATATACTTCCTGGGTTTTTCTTTGTTGTACTTTTTCATGTATTTATTATTTGTTTCCCCAAATCGGTTGGTGATGTATGAAATACCTCCACGTGTACCTTTTTCTTTAAACTGAAACATCTCAAAACCAGTCATTAACTCCAATTTTATGTCTGTCATTTTTAACATTGCATCCCAACTCAATCCTGGTGATGTATAATAGTGGCATGGGTCTAATTTATAATACTGCAAACATGTACTTCTAAAATTCTCAAAAACATCTGCCAATAGTAAAATATCAGACATCAGGTATAAATCATGGTAATCACCCATAGTCTGTAAATTAAATGTTCCCCAAACTTTTGTGGTATGACAGTATTGTTCATCTGTTATGGCATCTTGGGTTAGCTGGCTAAAGAAATCATCTTTGCTTGGCAGTTGGGTCTCATTAAATCTCTCAAAAGAATGCATATAGTCATATGGATATACACCTTTTTGGGTCATTAATTCTAATTTCTCCTTTTTGAATACTTTACGTGTATACTTGAATTTATCTTTTGGTAAATTGGCTGAAAGACGATCTAGGCTACTGGACATAAATTGAAAACTGTCCAAAAATACTAAATGCTTGCCTAGCATAAAAGCCATATATTTCTCCATATTATTGGCAATACAGTTAATATATAGTTCATACTGTTTTCCAATTGTTCCTATCTCCTGCATTATAAAATGGGAAACATACCCACGAAGATTATGAAAAATAACTGTCAGCTTGAACTTTTCTGAGTTTATTCTTAATTTCAAGTTACATTTTTCATGCGCAGATCTATATTGACCTGTTATATGACAATGATCTCTTACAAAGATATCTTCTTTAGTATATTTCTTACCACAAATATGACACTCTTTAGCAGCATTAAAATTTTGTTCATCCTCACTGCTCATTTTTAATGGTTTCTTGAATTTGGTTTTAATTATTTTTTCACAGTATTGTACCTCTTTTAACATTTCTTTCATGAACTTTTTTACTGGTTCTTCTCCTCGATATATTTTTACCGGTTTTGTATATTTATCATAGCAGCAAACTACTTTGTAACCATAACTACAGCTTGTAGGTGTTTGATATTTGTTTGTATATGATTTTTTTATTATTTTATTATTATTTTATTATTTTTAGTATCTTCGCTGTAACCGCTTCAAAATCTGCACATATCACAAATGGAGCTGGCATCTGGTTTGGATGATTTTTAAACTGCAATATATTTTCACCTTTTTTTGGCATCCTTATTGCCTGTTTTCCGTTTACAACCATATAATTGTCCTTGTGTTTCAAAAGAATTTGTTCTGTTGTAAAATTTTGTAAGCAGTACATACAAAAGTGTTTTTTCTCCTTATGTTTTGTCTTATTATACATCATTCTATTAAAATCCTTAATTAACACATAATGTTCATTCTCATCTTCTGTTATTAATAAAAGATTCAATATATCTTCATTTTTCTGTTTGGATACATAAATCGGATAAAACTGTTTATTCTCATATCCAAATACATTTATATTGATATTATTTTAATTTGCTCCTCAATTTTATCATAATCTTTTAAACTTACTGGAACATCCACTCCCTGGTAACGCAATTCTGGATGAACATCTTGTGGATTTAAATATCTAATATGACACCAACGGAAACATTCATTATCCTCATTTTTTAGGTTATCAAGCCTTTTAGATTATTTTGAAGTTCTTTCGGTAAAGGTATATATGATTTACCTTCTAATGGTTTATAATAAACCACATTAAAATAATGCTCTAAAACACCATCAGTGGTCCAACCGCTTCCTTCTTTCAACCACTCAGTAACATCATTCATTATTTTTTCCTGTGACATTTCTAAGTTTGGCTTAATATCACTTATATTCATTATAATTTGCGCCTTACTATTAAAATACACCATCTCTTCCTCAGGTTCACCATTTTTTAACTTTTCAAAGTTGACTACTATAGTCTCCACAAATTTAAAACCTTTATTTCTATTCAATATTTTCTCAAAAAATCGGCTGATTGCTAATCTCGTATTTTGTTATTGTTCTAAAATATCTTTATCATTTTTTATAGCTATCTCGTATGATTTTGTATATCCCTTCAAAGCTTTACTTTTTTCCATAATCTTGGTTCTCGGAGCTGGAATTGGGCGTGGTTGTGGCTGTGGTTGTTGTTTCTTTGTTCTTGGAGCTGGAATTGGTCTTGGTGGTTTGTCTAAATTATTATTCTCAAAATAACGGATTAATTGCTTTACCCCCATTTTTCTTGGGGCAGGAATAGGGCGTCTTGCTTCTTCCCGTACTCTAACCAAGTTTTCAAGTTCATCATCCGTAACTCCAGATAATAATCTTCTTATAAGTTCATTACGATTAGTCTTCATACTATTACTACATATTATTTTTTTATTCATACTAAAATAACGCGCCATTTCTTTAAGCCGGATTCCCAAGGTCAAATTCAAAAAATGCGTATATTAGCCAAATATATAAAAATGCCCTTGAATCCTAATTTGTCCAATAAAAAAGTATATATATAAACCAAATATTTAAAACTGTCCTGGTACCCTCATTTGTCCTACTACTACTGTGGCGTCATACACATATTTAACTCTATTTGTACAGTTAGAGGCCATTCTGTTCACATGAATACAAAACGGAAGAGGAGCCAGTTTAGTTCCTTGAGGAGTTCCGCCATTCAGCCATTTGGGTGGGGACAGAGCCTCCCCCACCCTCACCCTCTGGTTCCTGTTCGTGAGAAAGGCAGCAATCCACCTCACTAAATGTGGGTCCACATCTAGGTTATCCAGTTCACGCAGCAGCACATTATGATCAACGAGATCGAATCCTTTGGAGAAGTCAGAGAAAAACATTCTTACATACTTCTCACCTCCATCAACCGATTCCAAAATTGTGTGAAGTAAATAAACCAAGGCCTGCGTAGTGGATCTTCCTGGAAGAGCAAACTGCTTACTGTCCAACTTGTCCCAAACACACATGAGTAGGGATTTAGCTGAGAAACCTTCCAGTACTTTGGCTACAGGTGAAGTTAACGACACTGGTCTTCAGTCATTTTCAACAGACACTGGAGGGCGGCACTTCGGGACGGGAACCACAATAGCTTGCTTCAGTTGTGCTAGAACAAAACCCTGTTCAAGCGAGGAGTTGTATATGTCAGCAAGAACAGGAGAAAGTTCAAAGGCAAGCTTTTTTGACCTTGGGGTCTAGGCGCATTTTCACTAATTAACTGGCAAAAACGAAAGACACTTAGGCATACTTATATATATCGGTATCCCTTTAAGTGTCTTTCGTTTTTGCCAGTTAATAAGTGAAAATTCGCCTAGACCCCAAGGTCAAACCCAAAATATAAAAATGCGCCGTTACCCCCATTTATCCGACTACTTGTCATTTGACCAGTGTTAATGCATAGGAGTTGAACACCAAGTAAAACGAGTCAAAATTGTTTTTTTTTTTATGATATTCCCCTTCATTTATAGATAACTCCTGAAGCGAATGAATTTTGTAACAAATCCCAAACACCAAATGAAATTCCTTTAATAATTTAAAGCCAGAAACATGCGCACTAGGAACATTTTTCATCGCTTCCATTTTTATTGTTTAACAACAAGACAGCGGGTAACACACTGTTCATGCGCATTGCTTCCACGGCTCATGTGATCAGGCCCTTACTGTGAGTGTTATTGTCACACAGTTTGCACGTAAAAGCTTTGGAATTTGCCACTTTCGTGGTTTGTGTATGAGTCTGGAGTTTCAAAAAACCGATAGTGGCAATCAAGAGTCATGCCATTGGCTCCTGTGGCAATATAATCATTAACAATTTTGTGCATGACTATATTATTAAGAATATGATTAAGTTTAGATGAATCCGTGCAGATAACCATTTCAGGACATTTGCCACACCCATTTTGCTTTGCCTTATACGGGTTACCGTTTGTTTGTTTGTTTGTTTTATTTATTTGCCACACAATAATAGAAATAACAAATAATATAACTTCAGTAGAAAAAAGAAGGGGTGAGGAGACCTAACAGAAACTGTAGGAGCTTATGAGAGGTTAGACCTCCTCGAAAGCAAATCAAATACCCCGATCTTGTTGAATATAAGTAATGCAAATATTGATATTCAAAGCAGACAGAAGGCAAATTGTTGTTCCTCGAAATTCAGCTAAAAGTCGTAACAGTTCCTCAGTCGGATGCCTAAAATGTGTGCAATTCCACAACTGGTCTCGGCTCCATTAAATCCCAAACCAATGTAGAACATTTTAATGTAATACCTAAAATAATAATAGTAATAATAATAATGAACTTGATTAAAGTCTCATGTCTTATAGCTCAGGCTCAGTGCCTTACTAATTGGGGAGACTGAAATAACGAGCTAAATGCACACGTTAATTAATTATACTAAGTAATTTTACCTTTTGGCAATCTTGATCCCTTCCGCGATGAACGCCGCAAGTCTGAATTG